TATATGCGTGGCCATGTGAGAGCATTTCGAGAAAGAGAGCTAACTCTCCCCACTCTCGGCCATATCAGGGGATTTGCGAGCATTCATGGAAGCACTTCTTAAAACTGTCCTGTTCCTTATCTTAAAAAATTGAATACACATATAAGTTCTTCTATACAACTATTTAGTGTGAATTGCAATGAATACCCTTACATTTCTTTGATACTTATCGTTTGTTTTTTCTTCATTTCTTTAACACAGAAAAGTGTACATCAGAAAAAAATACACAAGATAATTGGGATTTAATTTTAGAAATTTGTGAAAAATACGCTAAACAAGAGTAAGAATTTTTTTCATTTTCAATTGTCTAGTTACATAGGCCAGCAATTTGTATTCAAACAATATGTAAACGAATATTTCATAAAAATCCAAATGTATCTATACGATCTATAACAGTAAGTAAATTATAATATTTATACAGATGATTTCCCTCCCTCCCCCCCCCGAAATGAAAGTTATTAGATGCATGCAGTAAAAATTGTGGTAAACAATTTAATAGAGAATTAGCTTCAAAAGATTTTTCACAATTAATCAAGAAAAATTTCTCGGTAATTACAATTCTGATTTTATTCAAATTAACTTCATTGTAGAGTTTACAACGTATTCCATCTATTAAATTAATTGATATCTTTGAAAAATGGTCAATTGAATTTAAAAATGATTCAGAATTAGCGTATGTTCTCTGATTATTCATTCGAATAGACTTCTTCATTTTAGATTAGCAGCTAGTTTTTATAATTGGGTTAAAACTGAATATCCAGATCTTGTGAAACAAGCAATGAATGAAAGACAAGTTAGTTGAAAAAATGTTCCTATGAGATTATAATCCTTTCATATATATTACTTTTAACGAACGAATTCTTTCTTCCAGTACTATATCCATCCTTATATTCAATCTTTCTATTATATATTACCACCATTGACTTAACTACTTCTATGAATTCGGTGTTCATTTTGCTGTGCTAATGAGGTATGGCAACTTGGATCGATGCATATATTTGCCTGCTCTTACGTTGTAGCTGACTGACTGTTCCTGTAGTGTAATGTTTACTTATATACAACTATTTTAGTAATATCTCGGTTGTTATGTGTTTTGTTTTTCTCTATACAAAACATCTTTACAGACTTATGAAAGAAACTGGAATTAATAAATCAAGTGTAAGTCAGACTATTTCGGAAAAAGACGACACCCTCATTTGCTCTCAGTCCAGACGTTTAGAACGATGGGCGGAACATTTCAGAAAACAGTTCAGTTGGCCTTCAGCTACTCTACAACTACCCTCCATTCCCAGACAGTGTGAATGGAACATTGAAGTAGGTCCCCCAACTCTCGCTGAAGTTCAAAAGGCTATAGTTAATCTGAAACGAGGAAGGGCAGCTGGTCCAGACGGATTGGCTCCAGAGGTCTTTAAGGATGGTGGTTCAATTTTAGCGATTAGGTTGATTAATATTTTAGCTAAGATCTGGGAGTTAGACGTTATCCCACCTGACTGGTCACAATCACTTATCGTCCCAATATATAAGAAAGGGTCAAAATCATCCTGTGACAACCACAGAGGGATTAGTTTAACTAATATAATATCTAAAATACTAGCCTCGATAATTATCAGACGCCTAACTAAGACTCGTGAACTGCAAACACGAGAGAACCAAGCTGGCTTTAGACCTGGTCGTGGCTGCATCGACCACATATTCACCATTCGTCAGGTTCTAGAACACAGGCATACTTATCGGCGTCCGACAATGGTGGTCTTTCTCGACTTAAAAGCAGCATTTGACTCGGTAGACCGCGAGATTCTGTGGCAGTGTCTGTCATTGAAAGGCGTACCCCAGAAGTACATAAACCTTGTAAAGGCTCTTTACTCGAACACTACTAGTCGAGTCAGAGCTTATGGCGAACTGTCATCTACCTTTACAACCTCAAGTGGTGTCCGTCAAGGCTGTCCACTTTCCCCATTTTTGTTTAACTTCATCATAGATCTACTGATGGAAATAACTTTCTCGTCGACTGAGTTCTCGGGTATTGATCTCCATCCAGGAGGTCCACTTATCGACTTAGAATACGCAGATGACATAGTCCTGTTTGGTGAAGACGCTGACAAAATGCAGAGTCTTTTGGTAGCACTAAGGAACAATGCCAGAATGTTTGGAATGCGCTTCTCTTCCTCTAAATGTAAGTTGTTGCTTCAGGACTGGTCTGCGTCAACACCTGAACTAAGGATAGAGAGCGAAGTAGTCGAACGCGTTGACAATTTCACTTATCTTGGAAGTTTGATCAGCCTTAATGGGTTGGTGTCTGACGAAATCTCAGCACGGATTTGAAAAGCACGTTTGACTTTTGCCAACTTACGTCACCTATCGTGAACGCTAGATATTCGTCTATCAATAAAGGGACGAGTATACTACGTAAGTAATAGTGAGGTTAGACGTAGAGTATTAGGGAATGATGATAGTAAATCAGTTGATAAGGTTGTGAATCTTCATCAACTGAGATATTTGGGCCACGTGCTGCGTATGCCTGAACTCCGATTACCATGAAGTGCAGTACTGATTAGTGCTGGAGATGGATGGAAGAAAGTTAAGAGTGGCCAAACCACAATGTGGCATCAGTGCTTGAGGTCACTAACTTCTAGTCTTAGCCATGTTGGTGAATGTAGACTACTTGGTTGTGGTTCGCATGACTATCGTAACCAATATTTGGAGACTCTTGGTGACATGGTTCAGAATCAATCACAATGACGTAGGTGTATACACTCTCTGTCTTCCATTAAACTGAGAGATTAAAATCACTTCATATCTTTCTTTATGCGTACTATTTCTTTCTTCCTGTGCTACATCCTTATACGCAATCTTTCTTTTATATATTACCACCATTGACTTAAAAACTCCTATGAATCCAGTGTTTATCTTGTGCTAATGAGGTGTGGCAACTTGTACCGATGCATATATCTGCCTGATCCTGATTTGCAACTGACTGACTGAGACTGATTTTAAGTATGTTTCGGTAAAGTTCAATAGTGAATTATTGTCGTAAGTGGTTATCTCAAGTTGTGTTCACTAAACTTGATATGGCAACTTGAGCTGGCGTACATTTATCCCTGGGTTTACACTGACTGACTAACTAACTAACTGAAGAGGCCTACCGTCAGTTACTATTTACCTTCCTTATTGATCTACTACAAATGACAGTCTCTTTTCAACATTTAGTGAACTGCTTTTTAGCACTAAATCATTGTAGCCTATCAAAAGTTCATAACGTATCTACTATTAGGTGTAAGCTCTAGGAAAATTCCGAATTTCCAATACTTTAAATAACAATATAAGCATATCTAAGATACATTTCTTACCTTGAAAACTGAAGAATATTGTCTCACAACTAACCTGAATCACCATCTAGTGTAACAGTAATAGATGAAATCATTTAGCGAATATAGATCACTTTACTCACCAGAATCTTAATGAATGCCCAAAAGTTGGTCAGGTTTTTACTAACATCAACCATTTCTAACATCTAAAATATTCAAATACTTATCGCAAGGTAAATGTATTGCACAGTAGCCTACATTTTTCTCACTCTATTTGCACAACATAATCATTGAATAATGAAGGCATTCAAATGCTTTTGCAGGTACCTAATCGTAAATGTAACGTTATATTCATTTTACTTTCATCACTAGTATAAGGTATCTTTTTGGGAAATCTTATGGATACTCAATTGTGCATTTCTCCTACTGCTGTAATTAATCGTTCAAGCTATGAACAACCGAGTGTAGAAAAGCGCAACTTGATTGGGTATCCTAACCATCTGTGTTTAATGTTAGTTAACAGCTGTCAACAAAATATCACGGATTTGTAATAATATTATGATCGGATATTGTCGATGCCATTTTTCAAGTTCCAGTTATGGAAATTGTTATCTCTTGTAATCGCTAATTTGTTATGGCTCCAAATACTAGTTGGTATCACGTGCTATATTCTCAAATCAAAATTCAAACTCTCGATTAGTTCAATTATATTGCCGGTAGAACCGGTGACCTATTGACTAATTGACCAATGAACAACAGCGATACCTTAACGTTTATTGGTCCTCGAGCTCCTCCCAAGTCAGTTGTCAATCAGAATATGCGAATAATAGGTAGATTATGACTCAAAGCACACAATCATCTACTTGAAGAGCTTAACCACATAGCACATAAAATAAGAAATCACACTTTAATCACAATCATATCCAAAAGTAATAGAGGGTGAAGCAAAAAGTACATAATTAGCAATAACTAACGAATGACAAAATGTATTATGACAGTTGATAGATGCACTGAATGTTTAAAATACGAGTAATATAGAGATACGATGATAAATTTATCAACTAGTTACGCAATAAAAATATAAATCATTTAAAAAATAGTCTTGAAAGTTCTGACTTTTTCCTATATTCATCCTGTTATTCATAGAAACAATCTATTGTGTGTTGTAATTCATGTCTTCATCATACTGATTACTTTATTCGTAAAGAGAGTATACGACATAATAATTATCTTTCCTAGTATTTTACTTTAACAGATAGTTAAACATGGTCCTTCACGCCAACATGTTGCACAATTACAAGCTAAAGAAGAAGAAGATCTAGCACAAGGTAAATAACCTTTATATTATAAACTTCATTTGAATAGTTCCCCCTTATTATATATTATCATCCTATTTACAATAAACTTTATGTAGCTTTATCTTTGTATATGTGTAAAAATGTTCAAAGCTTATTATTGTGGACCGTCGGGTGGCTACTCTAATTTCTACCGACTGACCAACTTCAGATATCCCAATACTGTTCCCAATCTCCAATATATCAGAACACGAACCGTAGATGAAAATTGTTTATGGGGTCAGGAGAAGAATAAGAATTTACAGAAAAATGCATATTTATACAGTTAGGACTACCGTGAATATTGACCAATAGGAAAATGACACCATTTCACGTTCAAGGATAGCATTATACTTAACAGAATAATTTTTAGGATATTTTTCTGAATATCCCAACACTTATCAACACAAAGAAACGTCTAAGTTACAGATTGTTATGCTGCTCAATGATTTGAGAAAAAATGAATCAGTTGAAATTCTGATTTATTCTTCTCAAGTTCAAGTATGCTAGTTCATCTATCGACTAATTGCTTCACTTGATGAATGATAAATGTCTAGGCTCTTATGAGTTAACTTTGATCACTAATGAAATAGTCTTAACTTATTTATTTATTTATTTTATTTTAACACATAGATATTGGTCCAAGGAGGCACCAAATACATATGCGCCACACAAATCTCATTCGATATGTGTAAGGGCTGTGATACTGACCGGGTGCCCAAACCGAAGCAGGTGGTTTTCTTAGGGGGCCACACCCCCAGCCTTCGACCCGAAGGTCTGACCCACAAGGCAGTGGAGCATCGTAAGGAGATGCAGTCCCACGAAAGCCGGTGACCAACAATTGGTTCATACACCAGTTGCCCTGATATGGCCGAGGGTGGGGAGAGTCCGCTCTCCCTCTGGAAATGCTCTCACATGGCCACGCGTATATAGCCTCTGCCAGGGAAGTCCTACTCACTGCCTTCTCGTGGCGGGGGTCTTGTTTACGAAAATTAAAGGACGAAAAGCGAATGTCCAGCGCTCTAACCGGATTCCAAACCAATTGTGCACATGGGCCCCAGTATCCTGAATAAACAATGGCGCGTGAACCAATTGTTGATCACCGGCGAACATGTGACTGCGTCTCCTTACGATGCTCCACTGCCTTATGGATCAGACCTTCAGGTCGAAGGCTCGGGGTGTGGCCCCCTAAGAAAACCACCTGCTTCGGTTTGGGCACCCGGTCAGTATCACAGCCCTTACACATATCGAATGAGATTTGTGTGGCGCATATGTATTTGGTGCCTCCTTGTACCAATATCTATGTGTTAAAATAAATCAATCCAAAGATTTAGTATTTCTTTTTATCACTCCTACTAAACTATTCCAACCACTTGTTATTTTTTATTTCATCTTGCTAATCTCGGGTATGGGGAACTTGGGCTAACATACATGTATCAGGTTCCATATCGATGAAATCTGTTTGTTTACATCATTTTGACTTTTACCACTTATTTTTTCAACAACTAAGAGTTTCACAGCTATTTAGTTGGGTATAGATAACCTGGTTGGTGTTCATGTGACCTGAAACGAAAAAGTTCAAAATCGTTGTCAACAGAGCAGGTACATTTACTCTTATCTCTTGGAGCCCGACATCTTATGACTTTTTTCACAACTACTGATACTGTTAGTGATTCTTGATAATATTCTCTTGTTGTGCTATTGTAATGTGACAACTTAAGTTGACGCACACATATGTCAGGTTCTATATTACACATGACTGACTGAATAATCTTTTATTTGTGATTAGATTTTAGTAGCGATAAACACTATCTGAACATTCTTACACTGTCATTCTAAGCATTTGAATACTGCATTGTATTAGCTTCATATAAAATTGTGTCATCCATGTACTTCCGGTTAAAATGATCCGGGGTCCCCAGATAGACAGTCAATCTGTGGATATTCATGAATAGATCTGCAGAAAAATGTTAATTTAAAATTGATCAACGCTAATGCTCAGTTTCATTATGTGCTGTACATTACATGTTTTGCAAACAATGATATTTTGTCTTCTGTCAGAAATAGATATGTTGTTAATTTTTTAATCCCAGTTTTATTTATTCTTTCCATAGCTATTGCTTTATCACTGAAAGATTCTGACAGTTCAACACCATCCCATCTAAACAAACAATCTGTTACCACTTCAAATGAGAAGTCTAGTTTATATCCTTCCTGCTCTCAACTTCCACTTAGTTCACTTTCAAGTTATTCGACACCAGCATCATCATCAAATGCCTCTAAAACAACTGCTCCTCGCAATTCAAAGGGACAGGTAAGAGCATTGTACGACTTTGAAGCAGCTGAAGACAATGAATTATCATTCAAAGCTGGAGAGCTTATCCTACTCTTAGATGATTCCGATGAGAACTGGTGGCTTGGAAGCAATAATCAAGGTCAAGGTTTATTTCCTGCTCAATTTGTCAAACGTGGAACTGAACTTGATGGAGTAAATAATGTCAAATCAAGTTCAAGCGAAGTTTCTCACAATATAGATGTTAAAAAAACCAATCTACCAAAAAAATTGTCCCCCAACTTGATGAGAAAAAAATCGATGAATGTTTACGTCTAATTACAACTGTAGATCCTACTGGTGAATTTCAACAAGATCCACCAGAATTAAGTCAACTTGAAGCAGAATGTATAGCAATGGTCCCACTTGTTGATCCTGAATTAAAACTAGTTGATAAAGAAATTATTATGCTTACAGAATTAAATCAACGTTTATTAGATGCATTTCAATTGTATCATGATATCATGTCACGTCAGAATCCGTCAAATGCTTATTATACCGGAATGTCCAATACTATTGCTAACACCACGACCAACCCAATAAATCCAACAATCCCTTATTTACCACCAAATACTCCGAATATATATCCATACACCCAGCCAACATCGTCGATGACTAAAACTGCATCTGCAGTACCTATGGTATGTATGTACTATTTATTATTATTACGTGATCACCTTGGTCCATAATTCACTTATTCATTTTTATTGCTACATAACTAGTTGAGCGACAGAAATATGATGTTTCTTTTTGTTGTTTTCATGAGTGTTGACCTCTATATTGTATTATTTTTATTGGGAATTTATTTATGTAACTGATGTATATATCTATCAATGATTTTCAAAATCATCACACTGAATACTAGATATTGTAGAGGTTCCGTTTAATTTGAGAGGGAAAGATCGACGAATTGGAGTCGGGACTTCACCAAGTCCTCTGGTACAGTTGAGGGTGTGGATAGTCCACTCTCCCTCTCCGAACGCTCACATAGCCACGCGTACGTACATGCACTATTCGCTGGCTTCTCACAGCAGGAGCGCTTCTTACAAAAGTCAGAGGGGAAAAAGCAAATGTCCAGTGGTGGCTTAAACCGGGTTAGTGGGTAAGGAGGATCCATCTAGAAGAGTTGAAAAAGTCTTTGGTACGGCTTTTAATAATAGTGCTTTAGAACCTCGCGGTTAACAGAGTCGAACCACTATAGTTGGTCGTCGGAAAGTATGTCTGTGTTTCAAAACCTGGTGAAGAGTGAATATTTAGTCAATACAATCATGTCTGATACTCAGGTCGGGTACAAATTGACAATAAACTGCACTTCTAACAGTAGTATCCTTGATGTTATGTCATAATCATCATGTTCATTCAATTTAATAAACGATTATCTTCATCCATATCTTGCTGAGCATTATGGTTCTTCTATAGTTTTGCAACCACCTTCATGATTGTACGTCTCTTCAATCTTTAAAGAGAACTTTGTGCTTTTTATTCAAAGCACGTTATTCTATGTTGAATTTCTCCTTGATTAACTCAGTTGAATGATAAAACATTTTTCACATATATCTTTTAGAATGGATTCACTATGCCAACAGATTTGAATGGAACTGTGATGTTCCCTCCTACTGACTCTTACCCTATGTCAACTGGAATTTATGCGAATCCACAAACAGAAAATTTCAATGGTAATCTTCCTCAAAATCTTCATAGTGGTCAAATATCATCTCAACCCTTTCCTGTACAGCAGTTTTATGAATCAAATCAAATAGTACCTCCTGATGTTGTTACACAACAAATGCAATCATATCCATCTGGCAGTAACAATTATGGAGGTAGGTATAAAGAGTATATGTTTGTGTTTTAAAAATCGCTTTCTTCCGTTCCCTCTCTCTACCCCTTCCATCATCCTCATCCATATCTTTTTTTTCCTAATGTAGTTCCAATTTATCCAATGAATGATTCTCAATCTATGGTGTATACAGATCAATCAAACAATACCCTCTCAACTCAGAGAAAACAATAACAACCGTAGGTTTCATCTAGTTTCATAAAAAAAATGGTAAGTTTTATGTTGTGTTTTTTTTTCATTTCAATGTCAGTCAGTCAGCTACAACGTAGGACCAGGCACATATATGCATCGGTCCAAGTTGCCATACCTCATTAACACAACAAGATGGACACCGGATTCATAAAAGTAGTTAATTCAGAGGTGGTGGTAATATATAAAAGAAAGATTGTAATAAGGATATAGTAGAGGAAGAAAGAATTAGCTCGTATAGTTGGGCAAACTGAAGTAGGTGGAGAGGAGTTTAAACTAAAGTCGAACACCTTAATCACTAAGTCACCGCTCTACGACAGTACGATAAAATAAAACTATGAAAACAGTTCAAGTTTATGATAGAGATGGTTGGGCCACGTGTTACGTATGCCTGAACACCGATTACCACGACGTGCAATGCTATCCGGTATTGGAGATGGTTGGAAGAAAGTTAGGGGCGGCCAAACCAAAACGTGGCATCAGTGCTTGAAGTCACTAACTTCTAGTCTGAGCCATGTTGGTAGATGCAGACTACTTGGTTGGGGTCCGCGTGACTATCGTAACCAATGGTTGGAGACTCTTGGTGACATGGCTCAGAATCGATCACAATGGCGTCGGTGTATACACTCTCTGTCTTCCATTAAACTGAGAGATTAAAATCGCTTCATATCTTTCTTTATGCGTACTAATTCTGTCTTCTTGTACTATATCTCTATATGCAATCTTTCTCTTATATATTACCACTTTTGACCTAACCACTGCTATGAATCCGGTGTTCATCTTGTTGTGCTGATGCGGTATGGCAACCTGGACTGATGCACATATATGCCTGGTCCTACTTTGTAGCTGACTGACTGACTTATACCAGTTTCTAATGTATGACCATAATGTAGATTTTCATCTCTATCATAAACTGTTTTCATAGTTTTATTTTATCGTACTGTCGTAGAGCGGTGACTTAGTGATTAAGGCGTTCGACTTTAGTTTAAACTCCTCTCCGCATACTTCAGTTTGCTCAACTAGGTTGTAGTATCGTTAACTTTTACATTTAGAGTGTAGCTCATTTTCAAGTACCTGGTCAATAATTAATACTGCTATTTAAATAAGATAATGATGAAACTCACTATGAATAAATTCTATTTTATCGTTCATTGATATCCTAAACAGAAATGGTGTGTATCTCAAATCTGATTAAGTTTTCTTATTTATTTAAATATATAAACATTGATACAGTGAGGTACCAAAATATCATATGCACCACACAAAGTAATTACCACTAAATTTGCGTATGGGCTGGGATAATGCCCAGGTGTCCAAACCAAGGCAGGCGGTTTCCTCGGGGGGGGCACCAACGACCTAGAGGTCTTATCCACAAGACATTGGGCCAACGTTAGTAGGTGCGATACCATGGTAGTCCTTGATCGAAAATAAGTTCACACACAATTTGTCCCTAAATGGTCATGGAGTTCATGTGTATCATTGGTCTGGAATCAAGATTTTCCAACTCTCCTAGATGGATCCTTCTTCTCCACCAACCCGGTTTAAGCCTCCATTGGACATTGGCTTTTTCTCCTCTCAATTTCATAAACAACACTCCTGCTGCGGGAAGAACGTCTTTGGTAATGGGTATGTAGTAGTATGTACGTACGTGTGACCATGCAAGAAAATTCGGCGACGACTCTTCCCAAACTTGACCTAATCAGGACATTTAGCAACCTAGATGTGCACCATGTCAAAAGTGATAAGCATTTGTGTTCAAATAATCATTGGTTATCGTTTTATGCGTAGTATATCCAGATTAATGAACGAGAAAGGAACGGTTTCACAGAGGATTTCATCCAGGAAGTATGCATTCTACTTCACATCAGTTGTTTTATAATCATAATAACTACCTTTACTGTAAGGGTAAATAAGTATTTACTCAATTGTTCGGTTATTCCTCACTTTTCTCCGCAATATTAACCACCAACCTTATGTTACGTATACATACATCAAATGATCCTTGTTTTTAAACTTTTGCATTAGTATTCCGTCATTAAATTGTAATCGATTTTATTTTCTCTTCAGCTAGGAATCCTGAGAACTATTTTATTCATGAAAATGAAAGATATGCTATCAAGACGGATTTTGTTCTGTTTTTCACAAAAGAAAAGTTTCATTCCTTCGATATAATAAACAAATACCTTCAGTTAAGTAAGCTCTAATAAACTTTAACCGTTTTCAATTTGTCTTTCATTCTCAACTACTACTCACTAGAAGTAGTTCATCTGTTTGTTTGTTTTTTGTCTGTAAACTTCTATCAAATTATCTTCATTCTATCATTTGTGATTTCATTAAATATAATTATTAAAAAATAATTGTAATTATTCATTGTACTTACATAAGTAAATGGGATCTCATTAATACCTTTTTATTCAAATGATTCATAATTACAATTATTAAGATCATGAGTCAATTGAAGCTAGATGACCATGGAAAACCTGGAAGCACTGGACGGCCGTTTCGTCCTACTGTGGGACTCCTCGGCAGTGCGCATCCACGACCTCGCCTCCTGCGAGATTCGAACCCATGGCCTACTGGTTTCACGCGCGAGCAATTGACCACTAGACCACTGAGCCGGCATCCAACGATGTTAATGTCTAACTTCAACTAATCCACAAAATTGAGCAACACATCCACCATTGTCTTCAGTGAGTTACTATCTCACAACAGACCTGGTTGAACTCCACTGGTCACTACTTCTCAGTAGAACTCCAGGATATACCTCGTGAAGCCAGTCACTAGTAAGCATATGTTGATTAATATCAGATACGTTTTGTGGATATTATAGTAATTTCAATGGTTAAGATCATGACTCATGATTACTATAATATCCACAAAACCATCTGATTCATAATTAATTGAGGTTAGTACTACGGATTGTATGTGTTATCACTGGTATAATATAAGTTTGATAAACGAGTACTGAACACTAGATGGTAAAATTCGATGGATACAATGCGTTTGAAGTGAAAAACAAAAGAAACTTGTTTATGAGATCGAACTATTTACACAAACTGAAAAAAGTGAATGAATTTTACAGAATAGACTACTAGGTAAAAGAATAGGTTTTTTATGATAATCAAGTCTCATGCTTATTAACAGGAGAAGTGAACGTTTTGTAGATCACTTGCTCGCTAATCAATTAAGATCTGACTTGGATTATCTATTTAAACACAAATGTTGGGACAGAGAGGGGTACCAAAATATCTGTACCACATATTAAGAAAGAGGTAGAGAAAGGAAGGTAACCAAAAAGTATAAAAAAATTAGTGATGATAGGAGAAGCATTTCAATTAAGAAACATACAATCATAATGAATTCTTTCAAATAAACAATTTCCTCTCACTTATATGAAGTTACACCAGGACTGCTACTGGCTTCCATTCTGGGTCATGTTTATTGGCGTCTCAAGCCACTAGATCCGTGAAGGACAAACAGATATCATACACTGGCCATCTTCGCTTTATACAACCATTCCGACCATCAACAAATAGTGCACGATGTGGAATCTGCTTGGATGACATTCGTAGTACATGTCCAAGCCACCGATTGTCGATGCTTCAAGATTGTGACTCCAATTGAATTATCGTCACTGACTATATCAGATCGGATTCCTGCGTATTAAAACTCCATCAGTAGCTCTTCTAGGGTTACTGTCGATCGCAAGCCCGGGTAAACGAGAATAGTTGGGCAAGAGGTTAGCAACCCCATCCCATAGAAAAAACCTTGCTAAAAAACGCTAACCAAAATAAACACTGGGAGTTGAAGGAAGAATTATGACGTCTCATGATGAGAGCCGAGGTTCTTCGAGTCTGATTCCCTTTATAACAACTAGAAAAACCATTATTATAGGTACATGGAATGTTCGGACAGTATGGGAAACCGGAAGGACTAGTCACAAATAGCTGCAGAGACGAGGAGATGCAACTTGGTAGTGCTCTGAATCAGTGAAACCCATTGGACCCAAGCTGGATGTTATATCTCGACGAGAATAATGAATAGTAACTGTTGCGACCTATTTGTAGGCTAATAGTATACATATATTCTTATTGTATAATTGCTAAGTAACTAGATTATGTATATTTATTTTGACCTATAGACTATTATTATACGATTTCCCATTCTTAATTTATACCCATTTCATTGACTAGTCTCCCACAGTCGCAGACACTTTTTGGCTTGGTCTTTCACAAATGTTATTTTCTATTTTATGGTCTGTTTGGTTCACCTATAAATCCGAATGACATTTCCTAAAGCCATCGTGTCGAGTATAAGGCATTTAACCACTGAGAATAATTGAAAATGGTTACACAATAACCCATATTGATTGAAATTAGATATGTAAACCAATGGATGCCGGCTCCATGACCAACGAGTTGAGCCGTGAGACTCTGGGTTCAATTCAAAGCAGCTGGTTCACTGCAGAGGTGTCCCACATCAGAAAAAAAAGCTTCCCGGTGCTTTTAGTAGTTATCTAACTTAGGTTGCTTTGTGATCTCAATAACATGGCCACTGTTACCATATTTCGAAAAATATATACATAAATCAACAACAAGGAAAAATATAATGAGACTTGATGTTGCGCAAGTGTTGTGACTGACAAGTTCAATGTTTCTCGTGAGTTTGTCTGACGCTTGGTTTATGAGAACTAATCAGGCTCACTTACAACTTAATATAATGAAACTGACCGGGAAATCACACTTGATGGAGAAGCCCTGAAAGAGGTGGGAAGTTCCACGTACCTGGACAGCATCATCGATGGAGGAGGATTTGAAAATATAAATGCAAAAATTGACAAGGCAACGGCCGCATTCCTACAGTTGAAGGACATACGGAACTCAAAATAACTACCAACCAATATCGAAGTCACAATCTTGAATACAAACGTCAAGACAGTTCTACTGTAGAGAGCTGAATCTTGGAGAGCTATTACAACCATCATCGAAAAAGTACAAGTGTTCATAAACAATCGTCTACATAAGATACTCAATGTCCGCTGGTCGAATATTATCAGCAGCAGCGTACAAACCAACTTCCAGCTGGAAAGGAAATTAGGAAAAGACTCTGAAAATGGATATAACGTACATTGTGGAAATCACCAAACTGTATCATGAGGGAAGCTCTCGTTTTGAATCGCGAAGAGAAACGAAATAGAGGAATTTCAAAGAGCATAGTGCATCGCGAATCGGAAACAAACATCAAAAGGATGAATATCAACTGGGAAGGATTGCCCAGGACAAAGTTGGATGGAGAATGCTGGTGGGCGGCCCACGTTCCTTCGTGAGGGGTAACAGGAATAAGTAAGTAATGACCGGGAAACATGGTTATATACAGATTATTGGCAAAAAATCAAACATGCAACTGGAGGAAACGAATTAAAATTTGTATCTGTGTGAATAAATACGTTGTCTTGTTTTTCTAACGACCATTTAAGATTTCTGATATCATTAAGATACCATGGAACCCTGAACATTCTCCCTTTCTCTTCATCTCAATTATTCTATACCATCCACTTGTGCAATTTCCATTTCGGATTAATTTCATACCATTATATTGTAGTGAGCGAGAACTCAGGTGGAGAAAATCAATCTATTGTATAGCTCGAAATTACAGTTCGTAAATTATGAAAACCATACATTAAATACTTTATTTGCACATCTTCCATCATTTATCGTCCAGATTGTACATGATTCTTTCATTTCTCAATTCCTCTCTACGTTTAACACTGATGAGCTACCCATTCACACTTACCGCCTATTAGTGACCAGCCCCAGTGAACCCACCGGATATTGAAGCAACACCTACAGACTTTCCCATAGATGTCACTCCACCAACGATCAAAGTAGTCAGCATGGCCATCAGACAAATCAAGAGCGGGAAACAGCAAGACCAGACAACATATCAGCTGAAGTCAGACATAGAAGTAACTGCAAGTATGCTTCATGTTCTATTCAGGAAGATTTAGGAGTAAGAACAAGTACCGACGGACTGGAAAGGAAGATATCAAAGAAAGGCTATAGCAAGTGTGAGAACCACAGAGGCATCACAATCACTATGAGTATCAAGAGAATTTTTAAACTGTTGAACCGACTCTTATGTGATATGTGAACTTCAGCCACATAACTGTTAGAACACGATACGTAGTTTGTTCCATAATCAGTTGTCCTCAATGGAAACATGCTTAGAGGTGAATTGATTGACAAATACCTCTAATTCCTCATTTAATTAATTAAATTAATCCTTAACATACTATATGCGTAATATCGGTGTAATTTCTGGCTGTTTGTTTTTACCATACCTAATACTGTAAACAGTGACATTGTTCGCAACACTGAACACTAGTAGTGTACCATGAAATCCATCCCTAGTAGGATAAATAGATTATGTCTGACAGTTCGTATACTGGTTGTTTATTGTTATTTCATTTTTGCATTAGTCTAATTTATGAACAGAAGAAACCTGAACAGGTAACCGAATGACTACAGCACCGTTTAAGACATTTTTGGTTGGTACTTGTCGATAGTCAATTGTCAAGTTCATCTAAAAATAAAAACGGACAGGGATACTGTTTCATTCATAAATCCGAATGATATTTTCTAAAACTTACTGCTAATACCTTTTTTTTAGTATATTTATGTTAACTATCGCTTGATAATTCAGATAATTTGCACTTGCATTTCAACAAGACTAATTATAGAAGTAATTTTACTTAGAGTCACTTGTATGACGTTCATTTCTTATTTAAAATCTATTTCGAACTTTAAAACAATGAGATCCAAATTTTATTTTCTCGGTAACTCGTTCAGACATTCACTTTGTACGATTTGTTTATTAATGAACTTGATGTATGCACATACGTTACACATTATATGTGGTCGCTCATCATTACAGTTAATTATAAAATTACTAACTGGTCACGGCTTCTCACTAAAACGCTGACAATTTTCAAACTTAACCATTCAATAACATGAAACAATCTCCACAAATCCCTATTCTATTACTTAACATATATTCACTGGTGAATAACTTCAAAAGGAAATTCTCAGAATTGTGACTAGTACAGTCCAATCGTGTCGGGTTTAAGGCATTTAACTATCGAAGATAATGGAAGATGGTTGCGCGATACCGCATATTGATTGAAATTAAACATGTAAGTCAATAGATGCCGACCCCATAATCAAAATGTCAAGCTTGATCTGCGAGATACCAACATTTCTGAGGTAGATTCCAGGTAGCTGGGTTTTTTGTATGCTAATTGTTAGACTCCCACACCAGGACAAAACAGATTTTCGGTGCTTTCTAGTTATTAATAGTTGCCTAACTTAGGTTGGTTCGTGAGCTCAATAACACGGTAATTGTTACCATATTTCAGAAAACCAACAGCAAGACTTGATAAAAGATGCTATTGTAATAAGCAGGTAACTAGTTTAGGGAACATACAATACTTATTAGGTTCAATAACATAACTACCAAACAGTAATCTGACAAAATCGAACAAGAAAATATAAAGGTGTGTTTTTTTAATAAAAAAACAACTGATAATTGGTTATGCTTAACTGTTAATGACTTCGTCGACTAGTACCCCCTAGTTTTCCAGCTTCTTCATACATCACAACTAATAATTATACAGTAATATTAGTAGCAACTCGAACTGATGTACGTACGTACGAAGTTCTACGTTGTTACTGACTGACTGACTGACTGAGTAGTTTTCTTCTATAATGATTTTATAAAAAAAGAGCATTTTTTCTAACTTGTATTGTTAAGAACATTCAAACAAGTGATAAAATAGAATAAACATAACCCAGTTTAAATGTTATAAGTATAATATAGATTGAATAATTTTAAAAATGATCCTTGTGTACTATAGGCAAACATATTATTATATATATAATTTAATATATATATATATATATATATGATATGGATATTTATCTATTACAGGATAATAAATGGTAAAATGATGAGAGAAGTACACATTTGGACTAAGATATACATACATATATATATTAGTTGACATTCCTAGTATTTGTATTTCTAATCATAAAAAAGCTTGGGTGAGACGAACTAAGATAACAGATATCGGATTTTGGCACAAAATTCACTCCATCCATTTAGCTAAATAAAGTTTTGACATTATAACTGATATCAGTTAGTGATGATGAACACCCTTAACAACTGTCAATCATAATTCTAATTCTTCACACATTGGTTCATTTTGGTTCAAGTCATTAAGTGAACATACTCAATATCACTTTATAGCATCATTCAAAAGATCGCGTCCATAAATGATAGTCTCTGCTTATGATTGATCTACTTCACTTTGTTTCTTCTTCTTCTTCTTTATTATTCAAAAATGAAATATGACACATTCTATTCAATGTTTGTTGACAATCATCATAATGAAATGGATGAGTTAATGGTAATGTTATCATATAAAATATAAATGGTAAACTCATTAAACTTATATACCAATAATAGATGGTTATATTTAATGCTAATAAAGCATATCCAATATATAATGAATTCATGATTATAATAAGTAGATATTGTTCTGGTTTATATAGAATAGTCTGAATAAGTTTATATGGATTACATATAGGACGTAGGATACCGTCTATATCATCTATACAATAATCAAATATTAATGGAAATCTATATAATGAATCAAATATACTATAAAATAATATCACATAAGGATATATATAATATAATATCCCACCAAATAGAATAATATTCATACAAATTATTGGATAGGCATATAATATATAATAAAGATAATGAAACCAATGATAATCCTTAAATACAATCATAATTAATAATGAATAAATCAATAAACCAATGATAACATTAATGATATAATATAGAATAGGTAATGAAGTCAATGGATAATTCACTTCTGATATACATCCTGATCCAGCATATAGAATAGGATAAAATTCTTTAATATTATCTATAGGACAATGATATAATGTAAAACTACCTAATGGAGGATATAATAATATAATGATTAAACTTGTGAATAAATGAATAATAATACAACATAGAAATAATAACCATGATTTTTGAGTAATACTCATTTGATGAGTAGCAGTAGTAGTATTAATACTACTGATACTACTATTAGTAGTAGTAGTAGTAGTAATCGATTGTTCTAAATGTTTCAAATCAATTTTTGTTAATGATAATATTGGTAAAATTTGTAATAAAAATATAATAGGTAAAATCATTATAAATCCAATATATAACCAACTGTATAATGTGAATGATGTTAAACATAATTCACATATATGATTATATGGATTATTGTATTTATAAAATACTTTTGATCCCCATGAACATGATGTACATAAACTTGTATTAGATATTTGACCACAAAATTTTCTAGTACATTGTGAAAATAGTTCTAGATTGTTATTGTTGTTGAGGATATGGTTAGTATCAATTGGATTCATGAAAATACCCGTTTAGAATACACAGGATAACGGCTAAACGTTAGTAATAATAATAATAATGAAAACCAATTAGTTAAGATAACATCACTCACTAAAAGTTAGTTCAGTAAAAGATCTATGTGCTTACTTGTCCCTTTTTTCGCTTCCCAAATTTATTTCACTGGATTATAGTATGTGGATAACCCTAATCTTTTCGGTTACTGCTTATCCTCTTACTACCTCTAACACTATGGATTTAAATGGAAAACTATATCTTTGTGATAATGTGTTATGGCGACTCGAACTGATGTACGTACGTACGAAATTCTACGTTGTTACTCACTGACTATGTGCTTACTGTTAATTTACATGTCATTACTTCCTGCTTTTTTTGATACACGATTAAAACTTACGGAAATCAGCTCAATGACTTTTAACTATGATAGTCAGATAAACCAATTTCTAACCTATACAACCAAAGGTAAAACATATTACGATGGAATTAGCATATATAGACCTAACAAAAAATAACAAGACATTGCAATAAAGCAGTAATCATGACAAAAAGAAACTGAACACACAAAATATAGTTTAATAAACAGAATGTAAAGGTATATCATGAAAGGATGTTAGGAGGGATTCGAAAGATAAAGACTAAAGTAGCAATAGAGCTTTTAGTACACCTATGAGGAAAGATTTTAACTAACTGGATGTGTATATACAGCTCCAAACACTCCTAGTTCAACTGACACTGTTATAAGTGAGTGATTTGCTACGGCTGCCTCCCTTGATTTCGTATACAAAATTACTTGTGGTGATTTCAACAGTAATGCTCTCGACTTGATATCCTGTCATAATGTCACACCGACGTATGAAGTGGTTGGCGAAAAGTTTAACAACAGTGATCGTAAAATAGTCTTATTCACTCTACTGTTTCTTGCAAAGTGCAACAAATCCAAGACAACAACGACACATTTTCAATATACAGACTATGCTCACAATGACTAGGGAAACTCGATTTCTAATAAAGCTCTCTGACTGGAGTAGTCTCTTTACAAGTGATAAGCCTTCAGAAACATTAGAAATGTTCAATGTCACCACTAAATAGTACTATATTATGTCCAAAACGACACCCCATACTGTACGATGGTGCGACGTATTATGTCCTAACCGTCATATGTGAACTACTAAGTGGATGGTTTTCCCACTATGGGAATAAATCTCACGTCCCAGATATTAATATCAAATGCACTAGCAAAAATAATCATAGTATTAGTAACTTATCACTCATTAATATACACGCCTTCACCAAACCCTTAAGTTGACGCGCGCTATTTAAAAAGGACAGTGGTATTTTTCCTCGCTGAGTAAATTTCATTGTTTTGATCGTTTATTACGTATCAAGACTACTGTTTTTCACTTTAATTGAATTTATTTCAGTTAAAGTATTTGACTAAAGTATCGTTTTTACTGTTTTTGTCGTTGGTACTCTTTAGTACCTCTTTTTCAACTGTATCTGTTAGTACTTTTGGTCCTAGCAATCTACAGCTCTTCACTTTTTTGGTCATTGATAATTTTTTTGTTTCTGGGTATCATCGCATATTGAAAAAACCCCTCCTAAATGACCGGACAGTGTAAAAAAAGCAGTTGCCAACGTCCGGGTTGTCGTTATCCTGTTGAAAGCGGCATGCAGTGCGACGAGTGCAAAGGCTGGTACCACGAAGTTTGCACGAACTTAACGCCTGCTGCTTTCAAACGGTTCAGTAAGAAGGGTTGTGTGTGGCTTTGTCAACAGTGCTGCTCGGATGCAAACAGCTTGTTAACCGAGGCCATCTCACTGGTTGATGCTGCAAAGAAGTGTTTCAACAAGCATAGTCGGAACGCGTCAAACAGCACTCGATCTGTTGACACGCAAATCAATGTGAAGGAAACTAAGGTGAGTCCGGTGATAGATGACTCACGCCCGTCAAAGAAGGAAAAGCAGTCTCCAAAGGGGCCTGCCTTAAACAAAAGCTCAAGAAAAGTAGGGTCTTCTGTTCCCCGTCTCCCAGATGGGATCCAACAGGAAACACCTAGGAGCCGCAATCGCAAGGCTCGATCGGTTTCAAATGGTAAACATAACACGACCCCTCAGGTCGTCGACAACCCCCCAAAACCCAACACTAGGTTTGACGCAACTGCTATTGCTTCTACCAGCAGCGTTGACGAATGGGTAAAGGTTGTAAGGAAGAAAAGTATTGATATAAAAGGGAAACCTGCCCCCGTAAAAGTGGTTGAAAAATCGAAAGCTGATCATAGCGACAGATCAGCTATTTTTCATAGAATTAAGGAGAGCGATAGCTCTGAACCTAAAGCTCGTTTTGAGCATGACATTGTACTGATTAGGCAGCTGCTTAATCAACTCATGCCTCAAAATATGACTGGGGTCACCTTGCTAAAGGTGTATAGACTAGGGAGTCTAACGGACTCGAAACCAAATCATTCCAGACTGCTTAAAGTAGTATTCGGCTCTTCAAACGAACGTGACCTAATTTTACAAAATGGACACAAATTAAAGGGTTCAGGAGTCTTTATCCGAAAGGACCTACCGTTGGCAGACCGTGTTAAAAGACGGGAAGCCGAGAAAGAACTACAACATAGGTTAGACGCTGGCGAAAAGGACCTGAAAATTGTAAATTTTCGGGTTGTAAGACTTCGACAGAGAATGATGCCGAAGCCACTCTGGGTGAAGCACGAAGGCACTTAAACAGGCTTCGGATCTGTTACACCAATGCACGAAGCTTACTTAATAAGCGATCGGAACTAGGTGTACAGATTGACTCTATAAAGCCAGATATAATCGCAGTAACAGAAACCTGGCTGACACAGGCTATAGATAGTATAGAACTTGATTTCGAGGGCTTTACGTTAGTAAGGGCCGACAGAACACAAAAGCGCAAAGGAGGGGGAGTAGCTCTATTCATTAGGAATGCTATCCCATTTACCATTATCGATAGTGTATCCCATGAGAGTGGGACGTGTGAATTAGTTAGTCTTCGCTTAAAATGCAAGGGACAAGAGCTGCTGATTGGTTTGGTCTATCGCAGTCCAAGCTGTGAGGCAAATGAGATCCTGTTAAGCAGTCTCAATACTTGGTCCCAAAGTGGTCGATGTCTAATCCTAGGGGACTTTAATGCACCTATGGTAGACTGGGAAAATCTGCGAACTGAATCGTCAGAAAATTCCTTCGAGCAGGAACTAGTTGATGCGGTTATCACATGTGCCCTAGTGCAACATGTGAAAGAAGCGACTAGGTACGACCCGGACACTGAATCATCCTTATTAGATCTTATACTGACTCACTATGAGGATGATGTTGCGAACCTCCACCATATGCCACCCTTAGGTAAAAGTGACCACGCAGTTTTAACTTTCGACTTCCATATAACTGCCAGTCATGAGGACGCGTCAGTCCAGTCCAGACCCAACGTCTGGAAAGCAAACATACCAGACATCATGCACTCAGCATCGTTAATAGATTGGACAATAGACCCAGAGTCCTCCATTGAAACGGCCTGGGACGCATTTCGAAAATCATACTTAAAAGTTACCACACCTCACATCCCTTGGACTATACCAAAGGGGCCGAAAAACTCACCACCATGGTTCAGTAGGGAGGTCCGTATCCTTCTCCGTAAGAAAAGGAAAACGTGGGATAGATTTAGGTTACTGGGGACTGATGAGTCAAAATCTCAGTATCGAAAGGCTCGGAACACTTGTGCCTCGACCCTCCGTAAGTCTAGAAAATTGTACGAAGAAAAACTTGTTAAGGAATCCATAGAATGTCCTAAACGCTTGTATTCCTATATAAACCAAAGGACAAGGAGAAAAGGAAATATTCCTGCTCTATGGGGAGACAGTACTGCTTCATCATTAGTGGAGGACGACTTTGGTAAGGCTCAAGCGTTCTCGAACTACTTTAGCAACGTGTATACCATAGAAGCACCCTTCTCGTCAGCGTATACAGATCCCCCCATACATACACTGGATAGCGTGACCATTAAAGAACTCGATGTCTTTGGTCTGCTAAATAAGCTTGACATAGGTAAATCCACGGGGCCCGATGAATTACATCCTAGGCTACTGAAGGAATTATCTAACTTCGTTGCGAACCCTTTAAGTACATGCTTTAACCTATCCGTTACGCAGGGTCGCTTACCGAAAGATTGGAAAAACGCCATAGTAAGTCCTGTCTTCAAAACAGGTACGAAACACAAACCTGAGAACTACCGCCCCGTTAGCCTAACTAGTGTGGTTGTTAAAATCTTAGAAAAGATTATTCGGAAGGAGCTGTTTAAGTATCTCGATAAAAACCGGATCCTCTCGGAGAAGCAGCATGGCTTCAGAATAGGTTATTCTTGTCTCACTAACTTATTAGTGGCTCGTGAAAGCTGGTGCGCTCTTAAGGACCAAAAGCTACCTGTAGACGTCGCCTTCATTGATTTCAGTAAAGCTTTTGATAAAGTTCCGCACAACCGGCTGTTATATAAGTTAAGACATATCGGGATTGGAGGTAATTTATTGATGTGGATAAAAGACTTCTTAGTTGGGCGTCAACAAAGAGTAAGGGTGAACTCAAAGTTATCTAGCTGGGAAACTGTGCTTAGTGGAGTGCCCCAGGGTACAGTTTTGGGGCCAGTGCTATTCCTCTTGTATGTAAATGACCTTCCTTGTCTCCTATCATCATCGGTCTTGCTATATGCTGACGATGTCAAGATATGGAGAACGATACGATGTAAGAGTGATAGCTTAGAACTTCAAAATGACCTGAAGAAGTTATCTGAATGGTCTCAAACATGGCAGTTGCCGATAAATACTTCCAAGTGTGTTGTGATGCATATCGGTCATCAAGGCACAGATACATACACGATGAATAACACTGAGCTACCTGTCGTCCAGACATATAATGACTTAGGAGTTATCGTTAGTCAAGACTTAAAGACTACTGCACACTGCCGTGCAATAGCCGCCAAAAGTTTTAGAACGTTATGGTCAATACGTAGGGCTTTTAGTCATGTCGACACTAAGACGTTTTTGACTTTGTATACAGTGTTCGTTCGTCCTAAACTTGAGTACTGCATACAAGCGGCTAGCCCCTGCTTAAAAAAGACAGTGAGCTTCTGGAAAAGGTTCAGAGAACGGCGACTAAGCTGGTTCCCGCAATAGCGAAGCTTCCGTATGAATCTCGACTGGCCAAGCTGAACCTTTTCCCGTTGTCATATCGCAGAACTAGAGGCGACTTGATTACAGTCTACAAATTGCTTAGTGATAAATTTGCACCTAACATGCCCTCATTTTTCTTGTCTTCCAAAACAGAGAATTTACGAGGACACTCCAAAAAAGTTCATAAGCCGAGAACAAATTACTTGTCAGCTGACTATCGACTTTCCCATCGAATCATCAACGAGTGGAATTCACTACCTCAGCACGTGGTTGAGGCTCCATCCGTCGACTCTTTCAAAAGAAAGTTGGATCAACTGAGAGACCACCATTGCCAGGACTAACATAGGCCATCGAGCCTCCTGTCCTTCCCAAACTGAAACTGAAACTGAAACTGAAACTGAATGCAAGTTCTGATGCAGATGATATCCCATTGATTCTTTAAAAGAATGGTAGGACCGAACATAAGAATACTATTACTCAAAATATTCACGTCATTCTTAGAAGCAGATACATACTCCGAAACTTGGAAGATAGCGTATGTTGCACCCATACACAAATCAGGACCAAAAAATTTGATCTAGAAATACAAACCTATAAATATCACCCCAATTATATGACGTGTAATGGAAAAAGTGATATGAGATGAATTATCTGATCACCTACTCAAAAAAGCCCACTCCACCCGTCAGAACACAGTTTCATAAGAACAAGATTTCGATCCACATGCTTGATAGGCTTCTTTAACGAGATAACTCGCATACATGACCAAAAACAACTAGTGTTTGTTTCGATATCAAGACAACTTTTGATAAGGTACTTCATAACCTCTTAATCGACAGACTTTAATCCGTTGGAGTTACTAACCATCTATTGCAATAGATCAGTTCTTTTCTCACAAACAGATACCAAAAGGATTAGAATTAATTCTACAGCATTTATACCCCGACCACTAGCCAGTGGTGTTGTACAGGGCAGTGTCTTGGGTTCATTGCTTCTTACAACCTATATCAACAATATATGCAGGTAATTCAACACGGGTAAGACTTACGTTTACGCTGATAACTTGAAAGTTGTCTATCAAAAAGATATTTGCAACATACAAAGTATTACGCAAACAATCCAGCATGAACTCAACCAGATAGATAACTGATGTAAGCGCTGAAACTTTAAACTCAACACATAAAAATGTAGCTGACTATGTATTGGAGAAATATCTTTTAAAATAAAGCTAACACAAAGACAACGTACTGGCCAAACTCAAATCAGCAACTGACCTTGGGGTGCACTATTCGCAAAGTGTAAAACTTCGCTGAAAACTTCAGTGCCACTTTGAAAACGACAGGAGTCTAGATAGATTAAAACATATGTCTGAGGGATTCGCAACGAAATTCGCTAGTTCATTTGGCAACCTAGGATGCATTTAGTTGGATCCCATGGATTTCCTTATATTAAGCCCATTCAGTAAACAAATACATGGACTTCTTTGATGGTCACAGTGTCCAGTGTGTATGTAGGTGTGTGGGGTTGTCTGGTATGAAGTGAAGGGACGGGTACTTCTACGGCATACATATTTCTAAAGCGATTCGGGAATACCTGAGGTTTTCCGTAGTCACCCTCCACCAATAATGGAATATTACTGTCTCTCAATAATGCTAGAATATTTCCTCTCAATTTCTTGTTTCGCATTTGAATATACGGGTTTAGGGCATTCGTTCAATTCCTTAACAAGTTTTTCTTCGCACGGCCTTCTAAACGTATTAAGGGTTGAGGCACAAATATTTCAACATTTTCGATATTGGGATTTCGTCTCGACAGAAACCAGTAACATAATTCTCTCCCACATTCGTCTCCTATTTCGAAGAAGGAAGTGAAACACTTTATTGAGCCACTTTGCAGAGTTTCAAGGACCCTCCTCTGTAGTTCAATGGATTTGTGCTGAAATGACCTATAATTACTCACAATTGAATAAATCCCAAGCCTTTCCTATTGAGACGATGACTCTACTGATTAATCTACTGGGGGTGATGAATGTGTATTATTGTTGTATAGTTGTTTCGAGATGTTAGATCTGGATTAGACTGTCGCATTCTCGTTTTTGATAATTATATGGAAATCAAAGATCAGAACTCATGATCACTTTTAACTAAGAATGGCATATAATGAAGCTTTATGACATCATCCTTATAATGGGTAATAAAAGATCTATTACGGATGGTTTGGAGTTCAAGTCGTACCCTATTGTTTCTGTCACGTATTGCAAAGTGAGTTTTCAGTTCTGAGCTATTACAATCCTTAACTCTATGAGAAATAATTGACCTGTCATTATGATCCATCTTCGATTTTTTGGCTACCTTCTGGGGACTGCCGTTTTTTTAGCAGAACTATGTCAGTTCTTACACTCGATCTGTAATCATTTATCAAAATCCACTGAAGTAGCAATCACAATCACGTCACGTGAACTGTGAGAACCTGGATGGTTGTTGATGACTTGAGTAGCCAGATTTTGGTTTAACCTGCTAGAAGCAAACGTTGTCACAAGACTGGTTTTTCTGGTTGTTTCCTACTGGCTGACATGTAGAGGACAATAGGCAGAAGAAACTACCTCCTTTGAAATTTTGTTTCCAGCAGACTTCTTTGGAGTCGACCATACCCCTTTGGCCAGTGTAAGTCAATGGGCTCCGAGCTTATTCGATTTGACTTCACGTCGGTTTGTGTGTTGACAGAGCAAGCACTGTCAGATGTGTCATGATTACGCTTGCTAATGCCGTTTTTACCATCAGCCACCATTAAAATCACTTCGGATAGCAAGTTGTTTGTGTTCGTGCAGCACTGTTGACACAACTATACCGTTTATAAACCGTGGTCGTTAGTTTCCAATGATCCAATGTAACGAGCTTGTATAAATTGTTGATTGCTTTGTACTTGCTCCCTGTCATTTCAGCATGATTCCAGGCATTTTGTAATCTTCAATGGGTGGTTGTCTAGCTATTCGACTAAACTTATGCTAGTCACTGTGGTAGTTATTTGTAGATTTGTAATATCTTGCAGTTTGAGTATATTTGTCCCAGATCAGTAGCGCTCCTGGATACCAAATGATATCACACTCTCAGACAGACGTTTGGCTGGCCACCCACCAGAATTCTCCGACAAACTCTGTTTCGGACATTCCTTTCCAGTTGCTATCCATACGTTTAATGTCTGCTTCCAATTCTCGACAAAGTGTATTCTTCGGCCTTTCTCTTCTCCGTTTCGCTTAAGGATTCCAAGTTAGTGTTTGTCTCGTGATGCAGCTTGATGATTTCTACAAGGTATACGGCATCTTTTCCTAATTTCCTCTTCAACTGGAAGCTGGTTCGTCCTCTCACGCATTTCGCTGATGCTGATAATATCCGACCAACGGACATGGAGTATTTTTGTAGACAACTGTTTATAAATGCTTCTACATTTTTGATTATGGTTGAAGTAGTTCTCGAAATTTCAGCCCATAAAGTATGACTGTCTTGACGTTCGTATTGAAGATTCTCACTTTGATGTTGTTTGACAGATGTTTTGAGTTCTATATGTTCTTCAATAGCAGGAACGCGGCCCTTGCTTTGCTAATCCTCGCCTTCACGTTTGTATCTAATTCTCCTCCTCTATCACTTACGCTGTCCAGGTGCCTGAAGGATTCCACATTTTTAGAGTTTTGTCAGCAAACGTGATCGGGTTGTTGTTCACGGTGTTGTGCTTGAGGATCTTGCTTTTTCCTTTGTATGTGTTGAGACCTACTGATTCAGAGACTGCTGCTAAACTAGCTGTCTTCATCTGCATTTGTTCGTGTATATGGAATAGGAGGACTAGGTCATCTGCGAAGTCGTGCTTTTCCTCATATGTTGAGGTCTTCATAATCCAGTCGACCACCAGAAGAAAGAGGAATGGGGAGGGTAAGCACCCTCGTCTTACTCCGATATTTACTTGGAATGCATCTGTCAACCTTCATCCATGCAAGCCAACCAGTTTGTCTGGTTGCAGTATAAAAAACAATGAGAAAATCCAACTGTTTAGAGAAGACGATTATTCAGGAGTGAATAAATGGGTCGATCAATTGTTACTATGTAAGAAAATGGAATTAAAATAATGAGAAGGGGGTGTAGATAATAATAATAATGATAATAATAGACTGAGAAAGTAGTTACTGATGCCCGGTAGTGATAACAGCGGTTATTTATAATCAGTTCATCATACGCACCTGGTCCGAGAGGAAGATGACGATACATGTTTGTCAAGTCTCTTCTTGAAGCTATTTACTGAAGGAAGTTTAAGTCATTCCTGGTCGTAGAGTACTCCAAGTGGAAGAAGATATTGGTGAGAAACGTGAGTGTATTTTAGTGCCGGCTTTTTGATATGGAACTTTTCTGGTTTCTCATGTCTACCCTTTAGTCTTCTTACGTTGCTACAGTGAAACCTATTATTATTATTATTATTATTATTATTATTATTATTATTCACAAACATCATATGGGTACATAAGTGTTGTGAAGAAACCATTTCGGGTTTCTTCAAAAAAATGCAATAATACACAATTTTCAATAATGTCAGCATTCTACTTGCCATTTATAAAAAAAATTTTGAGCAATAATAGTAGAATATTAATAATAATAAATCGGGTCTGTGCAGTTGAGAAGAATATTGACTTGAGTCTAAAGAAGGAAATGCAGAAAATAAGGGAATAGAAATAAAGGAGACGTGAAATGCGCAAACAGTCTAATAGGCGTGTTTACGAACACAGAACAAGAATAAATGACTGTGTGTATCGTTAAATTAGTAACAAAAAATAATTAAGAAAAAATAAATTATAATTGCAGTAGGTTATGACGCTAGAATAAATGTTTGTGCAGTCACATAGTTTGGAGTGATGCGATGAAAGTCTCAATTGAGTGAAAAGGACAATGAAGTATCAGTATGTATGAGTAGTCATATATGCATAGTGAAGATAAAATGGGTCTGAGAAGTTAATTGAAGTGTAACACAAGTTATTGTCTTAATTACAAACTTCGTAATCTTAAGAATAATATTCATTTAGAGGGAAAGAATGGAGTGAAAAGAAGTGAACACCTAGTGAAAAGTTTTGATCCATGATAAGAATAATAATTGCGTAATGAGTATCAACCTCAGAAAGAAACCAGCATTTGAGAAAAATAAAATAAAAATCCTTTAATGCACTCCGGGGGAAAACATTTAGATTTATGTAATAGTATACAGGGTGAAACCCGGTTATTAGTATAAATATTTGTGCAATAATAATTAAGATTGATGCTATGAAAGTCAAAATTGATTTTAAAGGACAATCTGGAGTTAAATATGTTTAGAAGGATACGAAGATACAAAAAGAATATCTAATGTGTCAGGGAACTAATAATGA